AGCTGCTAACGAATGGACTATTATAGTTTATCGTACTTGTAGTTGGTCCTTGAATTTATACAGAATCTCTCCATTAGCTTTGCCTTTTACTGAACTGTCTGCTAATTAACTTTAGTTAATAAAGGCTGAATTATCCCTCCATGCACGTTGTTACATTTCACTTGTATTTTGGGCCCAAATAGTTAATAGGTATGTACCCAAAATATATTTAGTTGTGTGCTTCTCACCTCGTGAACTGGGTGTCTGCTGGTAGAAACTGATGGTTTTCCATCTTTTACCGTAACACATGTGCCAGTCTTGAGGCCAGTCATGGATGCAGCAGAACCACGTAACTTTGGAAACATTACGTCATTCACAACTGGATCATAGGGAAACTGTTGAGGGAGTCTTTCATTTTCATAGGCCTGGGTATAAGTAGATGGTATCTGCAGGTTTAAGCTCGCCTTTTGAATTGCTTGGTGAGAGTTCCTTTCAGAAAAGCATGACGTATCACAACGGCAAAAAACGTTTCTACGTCTGTGCAGCTTAATAACGAGAAAAGCAATAGCTAGAAGTAAAACAATTGATGTTGCGCCAAATAATATCATCAGGTAAAATTTGATGTCAGAGTTCCATGACACGGGGGTTCCCGGAATTCCAATTCTTGATTCCTTTTCTTTTCCATCATCCTGCACCGATACATGAATAGTGACCGACGATGAAAGGGATGGGGTTCCATTATCGCTTACCAAAATTACAACTTTTCTGCGGATTGTATCTTTGAGTGTAAAATGGCGAATAATCCATATTTCTCCCGTTTCCTGAGCAACAGTAAACAGACTTTTATCATTGGACTGATGAAGGTCATATGAAAGCTGCGCATTCATACCAGAATCAGCATCCGTAGCTGTCACCTTTGTCACCAAATATCCTGGTTCGGCCGAACTCGGTATTGTTTCCTCTACTCTGGATCCTTTGATTGCCAAAGGGGACACGATCACAGGGGCATTGTCATTCTGATCTACGACGATCACATTGACAGTTACATTACTGCTGAGTGGAGGGGACCCAGCATCTGTCACTTTAACGTGGATTTCAAAACTTTTTAACTGTTCAAAATCAAAGGATTGATGAGCATACAACACACCATTGACAGCGTTTATTGAGACGAACGTAGATGCAGGAAAACCATTTATCACGTTATCCAAAATCGCATATGAAAGTTCGGCATTCTGATCGAAATCTGGATCAAAGGCTGACACAGAACCAATTGAACCGCCGACAGCATTGTTTTCTGCTATATGCATGGTGTAGGAAGGCTGCGTGAATTGTGGCACATTGTCATTGATATCTGTGACTTGAACTTGTATTGTTTCTGTGGCCGAGAGTTGGGGGGACCCATGATCCGTACATATAATTGTAATGCTGTACTCTGGTACATCTTCTCGATCTATATCACCATTTGTCACTAAAGTATAGTAATTATTATAAGAAGTGATTAGCTTAAACGGTAGAGTTAGGGGGCTTCTGCAAGAAACCTCTGCTGTGTTCTTAGAATCTCGGTCTACAATTCTGAGAACAGCTATGACGGTGTCTGGTGAAACGTTTTCTGAGATCGTGCTCGACGTAGTGGTTAATATTATTTCTGGAGCATTGTCGTTGATATCAGTAACTATCACCAAAACGTTGCAGTATACTGCCACCGAATGTGGGCCTCTGTCTTTAGCTTGTACTGAAATCTGATAACGATCTGACTCTTCAAAGTCCAGGATTCCACTCACGCTGATTTCTCCGGTGGTCGCATCTAACCTAAAGGCCTTACGTATTTTATCAGGAGTGTGATCACTGAAAGAATAGGTTACTTCGCCGTTGAGGCCTTCATCCACATCCACGGCAGTTACTTTCACAATCAGTGAATCTTTGGGTGTATTTTCTGCAATCGTAACTTGGTAACTGTTTCGTTCGCACACAGGGGCGTTGTCGTTTCCATCAACTACAACAATTTTAATTTGTGTGGTTCCAAATTTCTTCGGGTGCCCTCCATCAAACGCCGTTAACGTTAATCCAAAATTCGGTTCTAGTTCTCTGTCTAAATGTCGCTGCAGCATCAGTTCTGGGATACCAGCATCGCCGCCGTCTCGTTGTGATTTCAATGTGAAGTACTGGTTTGAGCTCAGTTGATAGGCGCGAACACTATTTGTTCCAGCATCCGCATCAAAGGCACTCTGCAGTGGAAAGGTTGTTCCAAGTGGCGTCAATTCTGACATTTCCAGGGTAACTTCGTGTCTCTGGAAAACTGGTGCATTATCGTTTATGTCGAGAATGTCAACTTCAATGCGATATATTTTAAGTGGATTCTCGATCACCGCCTGTAACATTAGAATGCAACTGTAACCCTGTTCACATAACTGCTCTCTGTCTATTTTTTCCCTGATATGCAAAATTCCAGTTTCTAAATTCACGGTTAAGCATTGTCCTTTGTTTTCAGATGCAATCCGAAACCGGCGCTCGGACAGTTGTTTAACGTCTAAACCGAGGTCTTCAGCAACATTCCCAACAAAGGCACCAAGCTCCAATTCTTCAGGAATTGAGTAACGAATGTTCCCAAAAACCGAAACGGTGTGGTACACCAGAATCAGGCAAAGACCGGGCCACAGCGATATTCGGCTCTTCAGCGAAAAGGCCATTCTCGATCAAGGCATTGCGTGTGATTGTCTGTTGTGATTCTTGTGATTCTCTGATAAATTTTACGCTCCTGTTGTAACAAAGAGAATAAAAATACTCACTAGCTTACGTTTCCCGAGTTTAGAAATAATCGATCATTTTTCGTTCGGATCCAATAGTTCTTTGTCAAATTCGCCAAGAATACTTCTAAAAATCCCAATGGATGTTCTGCGACTAATCGTTAGATGTGAATTGAGCGCACGGAGAGACCAGTGTTCTTCATTTCCTCGATACTGCTCAGTATTTGCTGCTGGGGGAGTGGTGCTGGATCCTCAGCCACATTTCCTCACCTCATTGGTAAACAGCGACACAAAGAGACTCGGCCAATAATAACAGTTAGTACTCTTAAAGCAATAGTGCCTCCGCAAAAGCACAGAAGAACTGCTTTGTGAATTTAATGTTGTGCAACTTCAATTGATCTTTCTGGCAATAGTTATCATAAGATTCATATGATGTCTCCATTTCCTTGTAAGCTAGTTAACGTCAGGCATTACAGATTTCAAGACGATTCATTAAAGCAATATTATTTATTCCAGCTTGGATATGCAAGCAAAACTAATCTAATTAATAAGACTGTATATTCATATTAGTCACATGGTTGCTCGAGTCATCCATTTATCAAGTACAAAGGTTCATATTTTACCATCAGTGTGTGTTCGCAAAGTTATTAAAATAATGAACTCTTTAGCTCTGACTGCCTGCTTTGATGGATTTATGTAAAGTTTTGTCGACGTATTTCTAGGAAATGCAACTATTTTGGCAGTTTGTATTTTCAGTAACTGTGCCTTCAAGCTTTAATAAATTGGTAAAGTGTCATTTGCATGGTACAAAGAGAAATGGACAAATTGTGTTACCTCGTTGATATGGTACATGATTGTTGAAGTCTTTACTGCAGTCCAGTCAACTGAATAATTTCATTTGAGCTTTTCCTGCAGCATTCAGAACAAAATGAAGTAGAAATGGCGAAAATATTCACTGACATATAATGTAAAAATACAGGGTAATGTTGTGATCACACCATGGCTGCTGGTGGGATTTAAACTCAATTAATACATGTTGAAGTGGCCATGACAACTATCAATTCATGATGGGGAGTGGGGGAAGGAGGTGGGGAAGAAACACTTAATTCAGTCGCACTCTTTAAGAAAAGAAGCCTGCCATTCTTGTCTAGTTTGACCTATATATGACATCAGAGCCACATTGATGTGCCTATCACCAAAGAGGACTTGCAAACCATTCAGAGACCTTTCAAGAGAAATTAAGAAAGGGGAACAAATTCTGGTCTTATCGATGATACCTACATACCGTGAAATGATGTTGATACAATAAAATTTTGAATGGTGACCAACTCTAGGAATGGTTTTATAGCTTAATTCATTTTCAATACCACTCCACCACAGGTATCTGCTACATGTATCAGATTGAAGAGGTTATCTTTATTAAATATGCCACTGAAATGTGTTTATACATATATTGATATCTTAAAACTGAGAATAATTGATTTCTGTTCACATTTGTGTATGAATAGAAATTAAATGACCTCTGCTCTTTGTGATCTTTATAAATGACTTGGATGAGGAGGTGGAAGGGTTGGTTAGTAAGTTTGCCGATGACACGATGGTTGGTGGAGTTGTAGACAGCGTGGAGGGCTGTTGTAGGTTGCAACGGGACACTGACAGGATGCAGAGTTGGGCAAAGAAGCGGCAGATGGAATTCAACCCAGAAAAGTGTGAAGCGATTAATTTTGGAAGGTCTAATTTGAATGCAGAATACAAGGTTACTAGCAGGATTCTCGGCAGTGTGGAGGAACAGAGGGATCTTGGGGTCCACGTCCATAGATACCTCAAAGTTTCTACCCAAATTGATAGGGTTGTAAAGAAGGTGTATGGTCTGTTTTCTTTCATTGGCAGGGGAATTGAGTTTAAGAGCCGTGAGGTTATGCTGCAGCTCTGTAAAACTCTGGTTAGACCACACTTGGAATATTGTGTTCTGTTCTGGTCACCTCATTGTAGGAAAGATGTGGAAGCTTTAGAGAGGTTGCAGAGGAGATTTACCAGGATGCTGCCTGGACTGGAGGGCTGGTCTTATGAGGAAAGGTTGAGGGAGCTAGGGTTCTTTTCATTGGAACAAAGAAGGATGAGAGGTGACTTGATAGAGGTGTACAAGATGATGAGAGGCATAGATAGAGTGGATACTTTACATAATAACAGCCGTTTTCCCTCCACGTTATATTCGTAATTCCCGTCAATATTTTATCCTTAAAAAACCCAAAACACATTTAGGAAAACACTTCTCACCTCGTAATCTGTTGCCCTATTTGTAGAGATTAATGCCTTTTCATGTTTTTCAGCGACACATGTCCCTGTCTTGAGCTCAATCATTGATGCAGCTGAGTCGTGTAACTTAAGGAACAGTAAATCATTCATAACGGTTTCATAGCGAATTTTTTGTGTAAGATTCTCGTTTTCATAAGCCTCTGTACACTTGGGCGCTATCTGCAGATTAACGCTTGCCTTTTCAATTCCTTGGAGAGAATTCCTCTGGGAGAAACATAACGTATTCCAACAGCAACAACCTTCGTTCGCCTCATATCTACTACTGCACACTTTAAAACCGAGAAATACAATAGCCAGGAACAAAACAAATGAGGTTGTGCCAAATAAAATCATCAGGTAAAGGTTGAACTCAGACTTCCATCGTCCAGTGGTCTCCAACATTTCAGTGTTTGATGCATTTTCTGTTTTATCCTCTACATGCACATTAATAGTAACTGTCGATGAAAGGGATGGCGTGCCGTTGTCCCGCACCAAAATTACAACTCTTATGTGGATTGAATCTTTGCGTGTGAAGTGGCGAATAGTCCATAGTTCGCCTGTTTCCTGAGCCACAGTGAAAAGGCTTTCGTCACTAGGCTGATGAATTTCATAAGAAATTTTGGCATTCATACCAGAATCAGCATCTATGGCTGTCACCTTTGTTACTAAGTAACCGGGATCGACGGATCTGGGTATTGTTTCCTCTACTGCAGATCCTATCATTGGCAAAGGCGACAGAATGACAGGGGCATTGTCATTCTGATCCATGACGATCACCTTGACAGTTACAGTACTGCTGAGTGGAAGTGACCCAGCATCCGTCACTTTCACACGGACTTCAAAACTTGTTATTTGTTCAAAGTCAAACGATTGGCGAGCAAACATCATGCCATTGACAGTGTTTATTGAGACGAACGTGGAAACAGGCAAACTTTGTATCAGGCTATCCAAAATCGAATATGAAAGTTCGGCATTTTGATTGGAATCTGGATCAACAGCTGATACAGAACCAATTGAAGCACCAATAACATTGTTTTCTGCTATGTGCATGGTGAAGGAACGCTGCGTAAAACGTGGCGCATTGTCATTTATATCTGAAACTTGAACTCGGATGGTTTCTGTGGTCAAGAGTGGAGGGAACCCATTATCAGTGCATGTAATTGTAATATTGTACTCTGGTATAACTTCTCGATCTATATCACCATCTGTTACTAATGTGTAGTAATTATTAAATGAAGTGATTAGCTTAAAAGGGACAGTTCGCGAGATTCTGCAAGAAGCCTCTGCTGTATTCTTAAAATCTCGGTCTACAATTCGGAGAACAGCTATGACAGTGTCCTGTGAAACGTTTTCTGCGACCGTGTTCGACGTAATGGTAAATAGCACTTCTGGGGAATTGTCGTTACTATCAGTAACCATTACCAAAACGTTACAATGCACTTCCAGCGGATGTGAGCCTTTGTCCTTTGCTGGTACTGAAATCTGGTAACGATCTGATTCTTCGAAGTCCAACGTGCCGTTAACTCTGATTTCACCAGTAATTGAGTCTAAGCTAAATACTTCACGTAATTTGTCAGGGGTGTGATCACTGAATGAATAGATTACATCACCGTTCAGACCTTCGTCCGTATCCGCGGCAGTTACCTTCACAATCAATGTATCTGTGGGTGCATTTTCTGAAATCGTAATTTGATAAATGTCTTGACCGCAAACCGGGGCATTGTCGTTCGCATCAACTACATTAATTTTAATATGCATGGTTCCGAATTTCTTCGGGTTCCCTCCATCAAATGCCGTTACTGTTAATCCAAAATTCGATTCTTTTTCTCGGTCCAAATATCGCTGCAGCACCAGTTCTGGGATGCCATTTTGCCCACCATCTGGCTGTGTTTTCAATGTGAAATACTGGTTTGGACTCAGTTGGTAGGAATGAACACAATTTGTTCCAGCATCCGGATCAACCGCACTCTGGAGTGGAAAGGCTGTTCCAAGTGCTGTCATTTCTGATATTTCCAGGTTAACTTCCTGTCTCTGGAAAACTGGCGCATTATCATTTATGTCGAGAACGTCAACTTCAATGCGGTATATTCTAAGTGGATTCTCTATCACCGCTTGTAACATTAGAATGCAACTGAGGCTTTGTTCACATAACTTCTCTCTGTCTATTGTTTCCTGGATATGCAAATTTCCAGTTTCTAAATTCACGGTTAAGTATTGTCCTTCGTTTTCAGAAGCAATCCGAAACCTGCGCTCTGACATCTGCGTAACCTCTAAACCGAGGTCTTCAGCGATATTCCCAACAACGGTATCAATCTCTAATTCTTCAGGAATTGAGTAGCGAATATTTCCAAAAACCGGATCGGTGAGATACACAAGACTCAAATAAATACATGACCACTGTGATACTCGGCAGTTACGCATAAAGGCCATTGTCGATTAAAGAATTGCAGATAAAACAAGGATTCTCAGATACATTTTACGCTCCTATTGCAACGAAACGACTACAATCTTTCATTACCTCATGTTTCCTGATTTTAGAAATAAATGTTCTTTTTTTAGTAGAGATCCAAGAGTTTTTTTTAAATCAAATTTGCGATGATTGTTTGTACAAATCCCCACAGGTTTGCTGCGACTAATTCTTAAATGTGAATCGGGCGAGTGGAGAGAGGAATCTTCCCCGTTTCCTCGATACTGGTCAGCATACGTTGCAGGGCTGGAGGGGGTGGGACGTGAAGATGGATCCTCAGCAACATTTTCTCACCTCATTGGTAGACAGCGACACAAACAGACTCGGCCAATAATAACAGCTCGAACTCTTAAAGCGATAGTGTCTCTCAGAAACCGATGGAACTGCTTTGTGCATTTAATGTTGTGCAACTTCAATTGACATTTCTGGCAAAACTTATTACATTAGTCTCATGACTTTCCGTGATGCTACTGCCGTGTTATCTGTTTAGTAGGATACTGTAAGGATCTCACCACCATTCGTTAGAGTAATTTTGCTCATTCCAGCTTCGATGTATGATCAAAAAATCTAATAAATAAGACTTCATTCACATAGCTATTCACATTGTTATCCAAATCAATTATTCAAGTACAAATACTGATATTTTACCGTCAAGGTATATTTGAAAAGTAACTAAAATAATGAACTTCTCAGCTCTCATTATCTGCTTTGACATACTTACATAAATTGTCATAGATGTACCTTTAAAATAAATGATATTTTTGCCAATTCATACTGATAATAACCGCTTCTTCAGACTTTACAGACAGATAAAAATGGCCGCCACTTTCATGGTGCAGGTGGAGATGCATTAAAATGTTGCCCAATATATGTTCAATATCAATCCACTTTAGGCATCTGCTATATGTATAACATTGAAGAGTGTACCTTGTCAACCATGCCAATGAAAGGTGTTTATCCATGTATTCATAATTTAAAACGAAGGATAGTTGGTTTCTTTTCACAATTGTGTATGAATATAAATGCAGCAATGATGAGATACTTTGTTTCTTAACGCTGATTAAGGGATGAATATGGCCAGGATACTGAGAATAGTCGCCTTTTCTCTTCTTCAAAATAATGCCATGGACCTTTTCAAGTCAAGTTAGCAGGAAGGTGGCACATTGCATGAAAGGAAAAAGCATCTTCAATAGTGCAGCACTCCTTAAGGATTTCACTGAGCTGTCACTGTAAGCATTTGCGCTCAAGTCCCTGCCTCTCACTTGTACTGGAGACTATTTGATTCAGCAATAGGATTTGCACGGCAGACAGTATTCGCTGTAGCTTCTTCCATTGTTTACCATGAAAGCTGTTATTTAGGGATAGGTAAAACATTTTCACTTAGCTCGCAGCAGCCATGAGTTGTGAAAAAAAAGAAATCATAGAAACCCTACATTTGCAGAAAGAGGCTATTTGGCAAATCAAGTCTGCACCGATCCTCAAAGAGCTTCCCAGACTGGCCCACGACCCGCCCCCACCCCGCCCTATCTCCCTTATTCTGTATTTACCATGGCTAAACCACCTAACCTACACATCTCTGGGTGTGATGGGGCATTTTTAGCATGACCAATCCACCCAACCTGCACATCATTAAACATGATCCTCCTCCAATATTGCTTCTGCACATGCTACTTGTAGAAACTATAGTTTCTCCCAGTTCACACAAGATTTTGCAAGGTTATGTTTGAAGAGTTCTCTCCTTATTAATTGAACCCATTTGATTGCTTTAACAGCAAGCTTGTGCTGACTGGACTTTCACGTTCTTGTACCAGCTGACATTGTATACGATTCATCTGACCATAACAGTGAACCTCTCCTTTCTGAAAACAACAGCAGGCACCACGCTTAAAAAAAAACTCTGTTGCAGGCATACTCATCCTGTAATGATGTAAAAAAGAGACCTACCACTCTCCCCAAAAATACCAAATATTTTGCCCAAATTCATCAGACATGTGCCTTGCTAATTATGTTAATATATTTGGAATTAGGTTTCTCTCATTGCACAAACTCGTGAACAAGCTATTGGGAGACATTCTCTACAGTCGTAACAATGGTACTTTCGAAGACACACATCTTATGCAATTCAGTTGAAAACTGTTAAATGTCCATTCAAAGTTTCCTTAAAACGACCTCTAGCGCGATTTTTTTGGAAACATTTCCGACTTCTTCATCCTCGTTTCTGCCTTAATTTCCTTCTTCAGATCTTTAAGCAATTTTTTCTACTTGAAATGATAAATATAACTACATAAATGTAAAAGCCATGTTGCTATGGGATGCATGAAATGAAGAAAAAAGACAGTCTGTTTCATCAATAAAAAGGGACACATTTCATGATTGCAATTTATGCCGATAATTTACCATATTATCACATCGTTAACAATCGTTAGAAATGCTTAATTATTATCAGTATTATGCGAAAACCCGATAAACATCCAACAATATAATCTAAGAAAAGGCATAATCTGAAAGTATAAAATATTAGTTGCCATTTAGGGTTTTTTGAATTGCCTGAATATAGTTTTTTTTATTTGAACAAATATTACTTAGATTATTCATCATAATTCAGAATTTCTCATTTCACCTTCTCTCATAACTTGTTTTTCAATTCCGTCACCAATTTGGAACAGTTATCTCAAATTAAAGCTGAAGTTGACTTCCCACTACATATATTTTAACTGTTAACTGAAGAACAATGCTCCACTTTACAGTAAATTGCGAACATAATATTTCATGGCTCCTTACAAACATTTAATTCGTTAGTTGAATCGTATGGTGTCACTGTCAACGCCAATATTTTCTGTGTGATTTTACTTACCCATGTAAACATGGTTCTGTGGGGGTTTCTTGATCTGAATCAATCTCTGCGCAGTCGTTATTGCCATAGTTTGCATAGGAAATCCAAGGATTTTGACCCATTTGCCAAGAAGAAGCCATTGTGTCTATTTTTTTTTAACTTATCATGCTGCGTAACGTGAAATACAACTTCTGGATGACTGTGCGCTCACGCACCTGCTGCCCTTATTCATCTCTGCCACTGTGTTTCCATGTTTAAAAGTTGCTGTATATGAAGCTTTGGTAAATTTGGAGATAGTCCAGATTGCAACCATGAAAGTGTAAAAAGTAATGAAAATGTAAAGTAGCGGTTTCAGTTTCATTCTCGTGAGCTATTCAGCTGCGTCCAGCGTCTTGAGTGTAATTGTGCACAAACCAGCAAGCACACATCGTCGGTGTACATCTAACTTTTGGCCTCTAGGTGGTACCGATACTTTCTGGAGTAATAAATTGAGGTTCGTAGAGCAGAGAAAAAGCGTGCTGACACAGTGATTGTGATTGTCATTTGCAAAACAAGACGTTTGGAAACATAGGCAATATGCTGATGTAGGAAATCTGAACATTATTGGTCCCAGAACATTTTTCTGAACAAATTGCAGAAACATATTGGTGCTGGAAGGATTAGTTTCCAAAACTACAACTATTAAACCAAGCAGTACAATGATTTCAGACAATGTGGAACATTTCCTACTACTTTTATTGAATTGAACATCTGGAGATCTTTGATTCTGTACACCAACCAATGTTGTTTCAGAGTCAATGAAAGACGCTGTCAACTAAGCTCTGCAATCAAGATCGTTGATATAAGATTAGGAAGGCTTTATTGTGGAATTAGCTAATTCAAAACTAAACGAAAAAAGTTAGTGAGCAAATTATTGCTCACGAATTCACTCTTGTGAACAATGTCATCATTTTAAGACATGTTGCTTGAATATGGACTTATGGGCGTGAGAACATGATGTTTCGATTGCATTTATCTTGCTTTTTGTGGGCAAGTTAAAAGCTGTCAAACTTGCATTTTCTTGCTTAATTGTCTTCCTGTAATCACATTGTATCAGATTTATCAGGTCAGCAGTGCGGACTTTTACTGAATACGCACAGATGTCAGTTAATCATTTACACAACTACTTAAATAACAAAGAGCTCATTTGTTATGTGCACGACCTAGATTTTTTAAAAAAAAGTAATATGGTATATCTTCCATAGCACATTAGGGTCAGGCAATGATAGTATGTGAACATAGAAACAACAGTAGGATGTTCAGCCCGTTGAGCCTGCATTACCATTTAATAAGACCATACTTTATCAAAGATTTGCATCCTGTTTACCCTCATTAAGCCCATAACCTTTATGCCATTAGTAATCAAAGATGTATCCACTTTTACTTTAAACGTATCGACAGAATGACAATCACAACCATTTGAGGGAGAATGGTCGAAATATCAACTACCTCTGAGGAAAGATTTTCTACGCATCTCGATCCTAAATGTCACCCCTTAATTTTAAGCTGCGCCATATGCTTCTAGACTTCTCAACGAATATCTCATTTCCATCTACCCTATCTACCACTTTCATTTGTTTTCTGATTTCAATGGATTCACCTGTCTTTACTGAAATCGTTACAGAATACAGGCCCTGTTTACGCACACTCTTCAAAGGACTGTCGTGCCATTAGTGAAACAAATCTGATGAAACTGAATTGCACTTCCTCGATACAAACATCTTTCCTAAAATAAGAACTAAACACAAGACTAGGCATTTGAATGGCTCAAGCTTGTTCTGCCATTCGATATGATCATGGCTGATCTCATGTTGGCCTCAACTCCAACTTCCTGCCCACTCTCTGTAACCCTTCAAACCATTACAAACTAAAAATATGTCTATCTGCTACTTACATTTACTGTCCTGGCATCTATCATTCTCTGGAGTAACGAATTCCACAGATTGAACACACTTTGTGAGATATGATTTCTCATCATGAGATAGCAAGAACTGCAGATGCTGAAGTCAAAGATAACAAAATGTGGAGCTGGAGAACACAGCAGGCCAGGTAGCAACAGAGGAATAGGAACACTGACGTTTCGGTCTGAAGAAA